GCATTGTTAATATCTCTTGAGATTTGATGTGAAAAATGGGAGTTCAAAGGCGCAAGCCTATTTTTCCCTCACATATACCGACTGACTGACTATCTCTGACAGTGTTCGAAAAACGACAATATATAAAATCAATTTTTTATTTATATAATAGTTCAAGTTATTCCCAGATTTCATGCCTTAAACCTGTAAGTTTTTAACGTTCAGAGGTTTAAGTGTTTCGGGTTATAGCGAACTTATTGAAAATGTGTACTTATATGACCAAATTACTTGCAGGCGTTTTACTAAGGTGAAATTGTCGCCAATGAATTGAATTGCACTCTACTTGGACATCGCGCATCAAGTTTCTAGTTCCTAAGATGTCTGATAATGCGTATGACTACATGGAAGATATAGATTACTACAGTAAGATCTTTTATTTAACGAGTGGCTTCAGATAAAAATAATGAACATTCCGCGACAGTGTACGACTACCAACGGCAAGTCAGTGAAAGGAAAAAAAGGGAAGATGCGAAGAAAAAGGAGGAGCAGTTCTTGCGTCGTTCACTGAGACAGTCAGAAAAAATGAGAGCTCTTGCACAAGCAAGAAAGCTTGCAAAACAGAGCTCGTCCGAGCATAAGGCTGCGGAAAATTTGGCATTTGAAGGAGATGACCAATACTTCACTGACAGTCATGGTAATTGGAAATTTTTGCGATGGCTCTTTTTAAATGAATGAATTTATGCATCTATTTTACCAAATTTTATCATAGTTGATTCCCGAATTCTGTTTTCAACCTTGACTGTTTTTAGAGGAAGCTTCTCTGAGGAGACGACGCCTGTGCTCAATTGTGATCCAACGAACTTGAGAGAAATAAGTGGTCCACTTTTATTATAAGTAGAAACTGCCGGCAGACTGCAGGGTATCAATACGTAGCGTTACTAAAACATAGGATTAAAAAATCAAGCTTGCACTCTTAGAAACAGCCGTCTCCGTGAGCGGGATGTTTTTTTTAATTGGTCTACCAACACTCAGGTGCTGAAACCTTCTGAGTTGCGCTCACACTTCCGTTTTTTGATCAAAGCACTCGGTTGCATGACAAAATAGCATTTAATAGTGGTTGGTGATGTTGTTGAATGTTGAATATGATAACTGCATACGGACGTGACGTTTCGGATTTAATTATATCCTTCTGAAGGCTTAACTATCAGTTTACTTCAAGCATATCGCTGGGAATTCAGCCTCTGGAACGAGAAGT